GGCGTTACGACAGCTCTGTAATGAAACCCAACAGTGACAGTGACCAAAAGCAGCTGAGAGGCACTGAGCCAGGGCAGTGTCACATGAAAACAATCTCCTAACATTAAAACAAAACAAACTTTTATTTTAGAGCACATTGATCCTTGCCAGTTCCCAGTGACAGTAACTGTGTGACCAGAGGAAAACAGCCATGTCAACTTCAGCTCAGTTCAAACAGTAATGGAAAAAAAAAAAAACGTTCAACCGCAGCATGCAAAGTCAATCCTTCATGAAGGCCAAGTTCTCATCCTTTTGACTCAGTTTTTATTTGCAGTACTGCAGCATTGTGTTTTGCAGGAGCGCAGTATTCGCTTATCGGAAGACATCTGTAATGTGCAACATTTTCACATCTCATGCTTCATTAAATAAGTTATTAAGTTACAAGTTCCTTAGAAGTTAGTAAGGATAAACAAGTACTAATAAATGAAATCTTTTGGAACATGAAACAAATCAATAAAATTTGTACTTACAACAAAGTAGCCACAAAATACTTTTTTCTTTTTATATTAAGAAATAAACTAGACTAACTTTATGTATGCGTTTTCCATTCTGCGTGATCTAAAGCATTAGAAATCCATACCCACAGAGAAAGGAATAAACCTCAGTGTAGAGAAAGGCAGACACCTGCGACATAACAACACTTCGGGGGGCGTAATATATTTTATCGGGCAAATATAAAAAATGGCCACATCACTCAAATCCTAAAGAGGCAGTTGGAATATCTTAGAATACAGAAAATTAATTATGAAGAGACTTCTCATTCTATCATCCATCAGAGCAGCAATGACCACTCGGAAAGTTTCACGCCTGCTGCCAAAAGTTGTAAAGAAAACTGAAGCCATGAATTCACAAAACAACTGCTCAGCCACACTCTGCTGACACAGCAGGTCTGCTCCTCTCTGCAGTAACCTCTTCTACAGTTGGAAACATCTTCTAAATTTGAGGTAGGTAATCTGAATAGCCCACATAACTCCTTCTCAAATTCTTTGGGTTAAATCATGGCTCCTTTTCATTAAGTGCAAAAGCCTGCTGACTGCTGGGTGACTAAAGGTTTGCCTTCCACTTGATCCCTTGTCAGCTGCCTATAAATCTATCACCACCACTATTTACCACTATCTGTAAAGGCTTCACCTTGTTCATTTTCCATTACATCGCACAGCTTCCTCTTGCATTGCTGAACATCCCTTCTGTATGCTCCACTTTACCTCCCCAAAACCCAGAAATTCATATTCCAGGCCATGAAAATATTTCAGCCTTCTCATTCAAATTAAAATAGAACACCACCACTGATATTTTTACAAACATAGTTCCCAACTTGTTTCAAGAGACTTTCCAGAGAATATTTTTCATCAGCTTATAAAGCAAAAGCACTCTCTGACAAACAGCCTGGTGTTTCTCTATCCCCCGCACTGCTACAGCACTAGTTTTTGTTGCTGCCCCATCAGACATTTTGGCCCCTACCCAAACTTCTTGTCTGTAGTTCCCGTCATCTGGAACAAACTGTACTAATACTGTCTAGCTGACTCTTCATCTCATTTCAAATCTGAGTTCAAAATATCCTTTATTCTCTTCCCGATTAATTATCTCTATTTCTTCCTCCTCCTCCTGCTGTTCCAGCTCTGGAAAGCGTTAAGTCTACAGTATGTGTGAATGTTATTCTAATGAATTGAAAAGAGAATGCTGGTCTTGCTTTTTCTAAACAACATAAAGAGAATAGAAAACAGATGAAGACATCCCATTACATTAAAAAACCACTAATAAATTAGAATAAAATTCCATTTAGGCCTCCTATCATCTGTCTTCTTAAGATGTCTTGGTGTTTAAATAACACTTAAAGCCATTCTCTAAAACAGCTCAGGAAAAAAAGTACTTTCAAAAGATACATATAGCTACTAGTTTGCTTTTCATATCATCATTCAAATGAAGAGTAAACAAACAGATCTGATGCCTGGCTGACAGTTTTGTGGATAATGTCCTAATGCAGCTATGATACAGATAATGAGATAGCCAATGGTTTTATTAAGCAAATGGTGGTGATAAATATGGTAATATACAAGAAAAATTTGGTTTAAGCTGTCTTTTTTTTTTTTTTCTAATTATGAACGTTAAGGGCATTCAGCCTGTGCCTCATACCAAGCTGGTCCATCCTGCAGTCCTTTCCTGGAGATGATCTGGGGACAGAGGGTTCTGGCAGTAACGTCCCCCAGCCTCCTTCCTCACCACCATCTCCTCTTCCCAGTTCCCACCACCAAAACGAACGTGCTTATCAGACTCAGCAAAATCCCAGCAGTTCTAGGTTTGCTCAGCACGTGTGATAATTGCAGTACTAGTGGGAACCTAACACCTGTTACTCTACATGGATGAAATGTCAGGTCTTTCCAGAGGTACTGTTTTGGTTTAAATGGTACATAAATTAATCTTATGTATCCTTATCTACAAAAGGATACCAGATCTCACTAGTGAAAATCATTAAAATTGCTCATGCTACTGATTTGGGATGGGCAGGATACTGAACAATTAATAAAATACTGAATTGTATATTTAATTTACTTTTTCTCCTTTTAAAAATAAAATTTACTTAAACTTCAGTTTATGACAAACTATATTAAGTCTTGAACTCACTGTAACCCACTGGTAGAAATAATACTCAAGCAGTTTACATTTCTTTCCAGTACTGAACTGAGCAAAGTCACTGCATTGTACCCAGAGCCTGCTGGAATGATAAAACAGCTTCTGACCATTAAAGACTCCACATGAAAAGAGAATATTTTCTTGATTTGAATCTTGTAGGATTATACTAATCTCAAACCATCCTCTCAAGTCACTAGCTATTAGGCCACACTTCCTTTTCTTAAAAAATCTGATAGGAATTTTAAAATATTATATTTTTGTTATTATTTTCAATATTATTGAATATGTAAAAAAATTACATTGTGATTTTAAGTGAATTCCAATTTCAATCCACAATTAGAAAACCACAAAAAAGCCCAAGAAGTGTCTTACATACTTTTACTTCACTTTCACATAAACGTGAAAATGAAGAATCTCAACAAGCAAGTATATTGCTTACACATGCACAATTTCAGCTCAAAACCCATAACATGCTCATTCAATACTGGGCAACCAGTGAGTTAAAACTAGATTTATTTGTTTTTATTTGCTGACTTGAAACACTTTGTTCTAAACCAATCTGTCACTGACTGACAGTACTTTTAAGAGCAGTAATGCAAAACTAATAATATTTTCCCGGCCAACAAAAACTTAAGTGGAAATTAAAACACAATAGAAGTGTGACTCATCTGTGCTGCTACAGTCTCTTTCATATGATGGAAATTTTCTATTTTAGTTTTACAGTTTGCTCAATAAACAGTAATATAGTTACAGTATAACCAAGGTTAAATGTTGCTATCAGTAGGCCAACAGAGAAGCTAACAGAGTCTTCAAATCAGGGGGGGGGGGGTTTCCACATTTGTTTGCTGTCAACAGACAGCAGGCACCAAGATTTCATATTCATAGCAGTATAAAAAGCAACCAGAAAAGAAAAAAAATCATGCAGAGACTATTAAAGTGTCATTTTTAGTAATAGGACTCCATAAATCATGGTGATGTTTTCACCTCCAGGTTCTACTCCTGCTTGGCACTGCCTCCCCCTGCCATCAGCTCCAGCGGGTTTATGCACACAGCTTTTATTATACACAAGACGACCCCCGTCCCCATCCCCTGTCCTACTTTTATCTTGGAAAAGCTCTTCAATGAGGATTTAACATGGGCCAACACCTAGCTATCGCCCAGCCCTCCTACTTGCAACACCTGCCTGGGTTGCAGGGGAATGCCGGCACCGCGGTATTGTGGATGGTGAGCGCAGGTCCAGGGGACAGCCTGGGCTTCTCCTCCTCTACACCTTCGCGGCCCTGGAGTCCGACAACTGAGGACACCCAGGGAATAAAGTTAAGCTATCTGGGTAGGTGAAACAGAAAGATGTCTACTTTTGGAGGCCATCGGTCTTCTGCACCGCGTTGGCTCTGCATAACCCTTGCCTGGTTTCGTTAGGAAAAATAATAAGTTCAAACAGATGACAGCTCCTGGTGTAAAGTGCAGGGGAGCAATCGGGAGTTGTACCAGGCACACAAATACAAATATGTTACTAGCATACATCTTTTTTTATGTTAAAAAGGAAGATTAGCAAAGCCTTCAGGACAAATGTAATTCAAGGTTAAGAAAGAGCCCCTCCACTTTCAGCTGCAAAGATGCAGTTCCATGTCCTGGTGGACATATGCAAATGCTGGAGGGATTTGGCATCAAAAGATTGTGTGCTGGAAAATAGGATGGACAGAAGAACTGTTCTTGACAGCATCTGCTGGTTCTCATCTAACAAGAACAAACTATAATTTTGCTTTTTAAAATGTGATATATTTCACATTCATATTTCATATGCTTCATTTGCTTCATTCTAAAGCAAATTTAATCTGAAACCCTCTATTTAAACAACATTCTTGGGGAAAAAAGAAGTGACACCCTTAAATTCCCATTGCTATTGCAAACTATCGCTGCCAAAATGGGGGAAGAAAAATGGAACAGAGAAGAAAGAATTTTGTAATGCCATTGATACTACAAATCCAAATTCTGTATAAATTACACACAGAAAATCCTCCTCCTCTGGAAGATTTAATAGCAAAGCTGCAAAGAGTACCTATATATTAACAAGGCTTTATTAAAGATACAGAATATGTTATGTGGTATTTACTGCTTTCCTACAGCACGTTACCACAAGCGCTTGCACAACAACGTACAATTTAAATTAATACCAAAGTTCTCATTGATATCTTTGAAAGCAGCTTATACCCTAATTTACTAAAAGCACTCATCTGCAGCTAGTGTTTCTGTTATTTATTAGAATTACTTAAATCCTTCTGTATTATGTTAAAAAATATATCTTGTAAATCCTTAAGGGCCTACCTATAATGACAGCAATCAGAAGAGATGATCAAGAAGCCTTATCAGAAAAGGGTGCAACACTCCAGAGGGAAGAAGAGATCTCGCTAAATAGCAAAGCCAAGAACAACTGCAGCGGCACTACAGGAGACAGAATGGTCAGAAGCCAGTGGAGTGACACGGACCAGGACAGAATAGACAGACATCATGAGGTCAAAATCAAGGACTATAGGAGGCAAGACCAGAAACCAGTACTCTGGAAGAATATGCCTCTAGCAAGGAGGCATATTGAGTAGCAAATTGCTACGGCCTGGATGTCTTAATTTGCAAAGGCAATGCTCAATCACGCTCCTAACCCAGTGTTTGGCTTTGTTCATTAGACTCCTCGACTGCCAGAGAAGCTGGCTGCGGAGAGCTGTTGGGCTGGTGCTCCAGGAAGAGGCTCAAAGTACTCAATCAGATACCTGGCTGAAGATCAGGGTAAAGCTTTTACATGGCCCATTTTAGCAAAGATAAATAATGTAAACCTGTTAACAACCTGTTCTGTTAAAACATTCATTATCACAAAAGGAGTATTAGTTTCATAATATTTGGTTTTCAAACAGTAAACATTCTTCTTGATTTGGTAACATTTAAACTTGCGTTCTTCCATTACAGGTACCAAAAAGGAAAAAACAAAAAAATTGCTGTGGTATGACCATTCAAATTTGTTCAATGAACCAGAAAATACTGCTGTCCAATCCTTAATGTTTTGAAGACAAGCCTATACTGGAATTGAGGAAAGCAGAGAGCACATACTGCTGCTGCAGCTAAGCATGTGAAAAACAAGTAAAATGCAGGGTAATAGCAATTCACTGTTTGCTTCATGTCATTTTGAGCTGAATTTCACAAAAAAAAAAAACCCTTCTGTAGGATTGTAGTTTCAGTCCTCTCATGACATTTATGCATTATTGAGTGATTTCAACCACATTTGAGAGAGGCAGAGATCTCAATGGTTGTGAGTTTGTAACCATAAATAGGGAAGGATGTAACACAAAATCAGATAAACCATTAGGTACCAAGCAATCCACCAAGGTCACAGGAGAAGTGGTTTCCAAGTTCACCTGAACATGAGCGTGAAAACTGGTCTCTTGTCATCTTCCCAGATATCACGGTAAGCCATCCTGTCATCTTCACAGGTATCAGGTACATCCTCACTGGTGGTTAGTCCAAAGCATGTTTTGCAGTACTGCAGTGCCAGAGGGGGGGGCAAATAAGTTACCTGGTCCTTTTGCTTTTCAGAGATGCTCCTCCAGAAGATCACGTTGGGTTTTGGCCCTCAAACTGGGCAGTCTGTCAGCCTTTGCTGCCAGCCACTCTAAGTGCCAATAATCAGCCTGTTTTGTGAGCAGCATATAATTGGCCTTATCTCATTTGGATTGAGATATTCAGACTGCTGAACAAAAGATTTTTCCCCTACTTCTCTTTGTTGGTTTTCTATGCTGCTGTCCTCAGAAAATGCATTAATAGCATTGTAGCCAATATGGTCCAAAGCTATGAAACAAGAAAAATTTGTAAGAAGAGGCAATAACTTTTATTATATTACTTAGTGCAGAAAAAAGCTTGATATAGAAAAAGCATACAAGCGTTGTGCTCAGTCTGTTCAAGACATTATCAGTATCATTGTTCAACAGGACATTTGCCTCTGGAACTAAAATAAAAAATGTTATTTAATATTTTTGTTACAGTACAGATCAGTCAAGATTAGGAGACTCTATTTTGTTACTTTTGAGGCCTAAGAGTTGGAGTTAGTTTACGTCAGTAATTTGTTCTTCCCCCATCTTTCAAGGCCACTGCTGGTGCCCTTGAAGGATTAGAATTGGCATCTCTCTGCTTTTTACAATGTATTAAGTACATCTTAGATTTTTAATTGTGGCAAAAAGCTGTTAAAGCCTTGCAAGATTTCCAAGTTAATACAGAGTACACAAAAAGACTCTTTGCTAGTCCGATTTTCTAAACCACTACAAATAACATAAAATAAAAACACTGCCTGTTCCTGACGGATGCTTTCACGCAGCAGTTACCTCCCATTAACCGCACGCTCGCAGCCCCTGCGCTGTTTTTGCTGCACCCATTTTTGGTGAACCCCATTGTGCCGGGATTAGCCGGCCACATGACAATCTCTGCAATCACAATAATCGCCCCGTAGCCTCCTATTCACGGCAGCCGGGGCACAGGCGAGAGTGATAAAGGTCAGGCTCAGCGTGCTTTTTCCCAATTATTCTCCAGCCCGGGCAAGCAGTAGCAGACAAGAGCAAATACACTGGCTGGTACTCACGGTCCGGCTTTAACGTGCTACTAAAGGGCAAAAGCTACTCGGCTTCTGGTTTAATCACTGCTATTTTGAAGAGTTTGGAGGATTTTTTTAAACATGTTTTGTCAAGGTTGTTGAACCACTTGAAGTGTGACAAACAGACCACAAAGGTGGCAGCTGGACCCCAAGACTGAACTTTTAAACTGAAGAGCTGGGAAATACTAATCCTGAAGCAAGCAGAAATGGATTTCCTCAGGTTTAGGGGGCCTGAATGATCAATCAGTACACAAAGGACCCCTTGCACTAATAATGTTTTTTTGCTGGGAATAATATATGTAAGAAAAATGGAGTTTTTAACCATTTCTCCAGAGATCCACTGCTTTTCAGAATTACTTGACTGCAGCGACGGTGATGAAGAGGAAATACTAGTATGCGGAGAAGATTTAGAGCTTAATCCTTTTGATGGTTTGCCTTACTCTTCCCGTTATTATAAACTTATGAAAGAACGAGAAGAACTTCCAGTATGGAAAGAGAAATATACTTTTATGGAAAGTTTGCTCCATAATCAAATTGTGATTGTGTCAGGAGAGGCTAAGACTGGCAAGAGCTCCCAGGTCAGTACAACATACTTGGTTGGGGGTTTTTTATTATTTTTAGAACATTTAATGTACACTTTTCAGAGTTACTATTTTACTAATAATACATATTTTAAAAACAGAAAAATCTTTTGCAATTTACTATTATTTAATATTTATTATATCTACTATTTACTATATATATATATTTACTGTTTTTTTTACTGTTCACTGCTGTTTCCCTTTACTTATGTTAAGCACATCAATATCCAGATTTATATTATACTAGTGTCCAGTTTCTGTCAGTAGTGGGCTATTGCTATGCCGAGTACTGTATGGTATTGCAATACAATAACATCCAGTTCTGAAGAGTTCAGCTGCAGTGTACACACACATAATTGTATTGAGTTTAGCAGTTCTCAGTGTAGAAACAGATGTGCAAGCATCTATTTTAATTTGAGGTGTTAAGGCCAGAGAGGGAAAGTGAAATACAGAAGGCGGCAGAAGACGAATGCAGTCAAATATAGATTTAAAATACGTATATATAAGCATACATTTAAATAACTTCTTCAAATACTCACAAACAATTGGCACTTACTTTACATTTGTCCATTACAAGATGTTTTTACATGGTTAATGATGTCTTTTGGGCTTCCGGGTAAATTGAGCACTGAACAGGAACACTTCTCAGACTGTGATTGTCTGACACAGCTTCATAAACAACTGAAAAATCTCAAACTACAACTTTTTATGTACTAAATACTAAATTTAAAAATATCAAGCCCTTTCTGAACACTGAAGACCACATGCATTAACTACTATAGTTTAAAATTCAGAACCAAATATACACATAACCTTAGAAAAAATCTGTATAAAATTTTCTTGTATCTATCAGTACGTGCACTGGAAATTATTGTTTTGTTTGTACATCTAAACACCACATCTCAACTTGTAAACCTATCAACTATATACTTTAATATGTATTACAGAATGTATCAGCTAAAATCCTTCCCTACTAAAATTACAGGTGTATTTCTACTGTCTTCAGAGAGGCCATGGCTAAGTGTAAAATACTTTAGGATTTATTTCAGATTGCGTTAGTATTTTATCAATAAATCATCCCTTCTACATTTGGCTGGCCACTATTTTGTACATTTGGAGAATTTTATTGCCTCCTCCTTAATAATGACTAAAGTTGTCATTTTATTCTCTTTTTGCCCATCATCACATTGAATGCCCAGTGGAAACAGTAAACTGTAATGCCTGCATTGGATTCAAGGCATATTCTTACTTCGAAAGTGTGTTTTGGTTCTGATTAGTGCTATAACAGGAAAAAAATACAGTGGATTTGCAGGCAGGTCATAAGAGAAGGTGAAAAAAGTTCTGAGGGAATGAAGGATTGAAATCAGTAGGACTGTTTCTCAGGGAGAAGTAACGGTCTTTCCCTCACTTCAGCCAACAGCAAATGCTTTTTCCAAGAATACACAATTACTTTACAGAACTCATATTAAAAGGCATCACTGAAGTCAAGATCTCAGTTGACTCTAAACACACAAATATCCCCTAGGACTATCAAATTCTTTTGTAATAATATATAACAACCGAAGTCTGTTACCGCAGCAAGCAGAGAAGAATTTTCAAGCAAGTGTTATAAGCCAAAAACATTATTGTTTATGATTCGGATCAGGCAAAAACTTTCCTGCAGGTAAAGCTGTAGGATAATTACTGTTGCAGGGCATCTCATATCTGCCAGAGACTTTCATGCTGGACACTGCTAGAGATCACATATGGAAGTAGAGACATCATACTTCTCATTGAAAATTCCTATGCTCCTATAAAAAGGATACACACCTACCTGGTGCCTGGAATATTTTTTGGAGTGCAAAGTCTTTAGCCCTTGTCACTGACTTTAATTTATACAAAACAAACTTTGCATAATAATAAACTACATGCTAAGATACGTTAGCTTTTTCAATTGCCCTTAAACAAATTTAATAAGATGCAACACATTGCTGGCTGTTTTTTAAACATTTTTAGAAACATAAATAATTATACAGGAATAAATTATATGTGGCTGATGCACCTGGTTTATATATGTTGATTAAGTAAAGGATTTGAAACCTAATACATCCACTAAAATAATATTTATAATGTAATTTTATTTTCTCATGACAATAACACATTAGTATTTTCTAATGTTGATTTTTCTACCGTAAATATATAAATTAGAGAGCTACTGCATAAGTTTCTGGAGCAGTTCAGTTTCATTTTTATTTGTTTACAGAGTAATCAATCTGAAATTACATATATTTACTATGGCATCTGTCAGTTTGAAATCCTCTTTTTCCTGGGACATGTTTCTCATGTCAAGCACCTGAATATGATATAGCATGGGCAGTTTTACTACTGAGCCAGCTGAGAAGCCCCTGACAACAACTGCACTAACATTGTTGGATCAATCAGGAGATGCTTAAGAATGATACTGCCAGTGTTACCTGCTCCCCAGAGGCCAATTCTGCCGCTTCTGCAATATATTCAAACTAATCTAAGTCCAGTTGAGAAATTCCCAGGTAAACCTTCCGGCCCATGTCACTCCAACTCTTGACTACTTAAGAGATTCTGGGTCTGGACATTTATCAAGGCAGATAATTTCTGTGTTAGGTGCAGCTCACCCATCAGTAGTCAGGCAGACGATAAGAGATGGGTGCTCAGGTTGATTTAGTTCTTCCACACTGTCTACTTCTTTTGCATTACAGTCTCTGCTAAGTGTGTTAAATACCAAATATGTCTGTTTTCTTATTTACTTAGATTCCTCAGTGGTGTGCTGAGTATTGCCTTTCTGTCCGCTATCAACATGGCGTAGTCGTATGCACCCAGGTCCACAAGCAGACAGCAGTGTGGCTGGCACTGCGTGTAGCTGATGAAATGGATGTCAACATTGGCCATGAAGTGGGCTATTTTGTCCCATTTGAAAGCTGCTGTACAACAGACACTATCCTGAGGTTTGTGTGTTTGGTTTTCAATGCCTTCAAGCTAATATGTAGCCTATAGTTCTCTGCAAGTGCAAAAGTTTGCAGCTGACAGCACTCCAGTCCCTAGCTCTTCATTGCACCACTCCACTAACATGGTCAGGACAGATAACCTAACAACCAGGGGGAAACATTGCTATAGTTGCAAAAGATTTTTGCATACAGTATGAAAACAAAAAAGCCCTAATCTGCTTTATGAAGTTGTGTATAATATTTTAAAAGGCAGATACTGGAGATTTTGTGATTGATCAATAAACTGTAAAAGGCTTGAAGGAGGTATTCTGTGCTAAATTGTAATAGAGATTTAAGTGGGCAAGGTTACCGTCTGTGCAAAACTTCATCAAGCGCCTCAGTAACCTCCATATCATTCCACTTTTTCTTTCTCTGTTTTCCAGTACAGGAGTGTTCATTACCATAAGAGAACATGGGATAATCCATCACAAAGTAAAGCTGGAATTTAAAAGCAATCAAAAATCATGGCTAGAAAACAGTATATTCAGTAACAAGAGAAAAAAGTGTTTAGGAGGATTTTTAAGAGATAAGAAATGCACTTAATGTATTAAATATAGGCAGGTGACAGCAGCAACACAGGGATTCAGATTTTGAGCCTCTCTGAAAGTGAGGAGAGTTATTTTCTCTGGTTCCTTAATATGGCAGGCACAAACTATAACATCTAGATCATAAGCCTTTTTCCCAGTCACTGATTTCCAGTGGAGAAGAGGATACTCTACTCACCACTTCTGATAATCAAGTTCAACCACTCTTCCTTTTGTGTGTCCTTTCTCTTTCACGGAGAACTCTGTAAGCCTCATCCTGCAGCACACCTTCCTGCAGCTGCTCGTGATGTGAAAGGGAGATGAATCCTACCCTCTCCCACATCGAAACTTGGTTCAAGAATTCAAGTCCTGCTGAGCAACACAGCAAAAAAAAATATCATTTAAAAAAACTTTCAGTAGCAGGAATAATAGGGATAAAAGTGAGGATGACTTTACGGTATGAATTAATCTCTCACCTTGGTTTTGGCACTGCCTCAAGTCCTCATGTACACCTTCTTTTCCTCATCTAAAAGTATTAGTTCCTAGCTTGAGAATTGGTTATGGCATGCAATATGCTTAGGTAGTTTGGAAGATGAAAGGCCATATAAGTTATGATTTTAGGGCAGATGTATTTCTTCTTTTGCCTAGAGCATCCTTTCAACCATAGTGCCACTTAGTGTCATTGAATTACATTGAGTTTCTAGCTACTTAAAGAAGGATTTAAACACATAGTTGAGACTGTGATACTGGCTACAAAATAGACCCTCTGTTCTTATCAAATCTTTCTTGTTAGAACAGAAAGAACCAAGCTGCCCCCAAGACCCTGAATTAATTTCTTACAATCAAATCTGAATATTCCAAGAAACTTTGTAGAGTTTTCTGTTTGTATGTTGCAGATACTGTACAGATGATATGCTACAAAGGGAAATGATGTCTACACCTCTTCTGAACTATTATGGCGTTATCATCTTGGATGATGTGCATGAAAGAACTGTTGCAACAGATGCATTAATTGGCCTTCTTAAAGATGTCTTGATATCAAGACCAGAACTGAGGCTGGTAATACTCACTGCGCCTCATATGTCCAGCAAACTGCAGAATTATTACGGCAGCATCCCCTTCATAAGAGTGGAAAACAAACACCATGCAGAGGTTGTATACTCTTGCAGCATTCAGAAAGACCACTTTCTGTCTGCACTAAGACTGCTCTTTGAGATACACCATGCAAAAGAGAAGGGTGATATTGTGATCTTTCTGGCATGTGAACAAGTAAGTTATTAACTGATTCCAACATTTCTGATTTTAATCAAGAAACAATTTACATCTGTGTTTTTATATGACCTATAAATATCTTGTTGCCAGTATCTAAGACACCAGACACTGCCAACAGTTTTTATCATTTCAGGTTTTTTTCTACAAAGAAGCTATGGTATACATAACACTATATTAAATATATATATAGCCTAAACCAATACAAGGAACTATCAGGCTTAAAGAAAGGCCATCATCCTTCTGTGTGATGCAAAAAGTAGCAAAGGCGGCACACAGGGACAAGGGCCATAGATGTAGGGAGTTAATACATCACAACCTATTCTGGCATTGGGTACACCACACTTTGTGTTATCACTGTTTTGCAAGAACGGACAGACGTCCAGTTTGCATAAATGTCCTACTTCCCATGCATGTTTTTGCCTTAAACCTGCCTAAAAGGCTCTTCTATTTGCATTCTCCTTTATGGCTGCAAACTTCCTAACCATTTGTGTACACAACAGCAGAAGGCAAATGTCAATCCGGAGGTGCTACAGATAATGCAGGAATCTGCATGGGCTTGGCCATTCTAAATAGTGGCATCTCTGAATCCCTGAAGACAGCAGTGATGCCCTAAATCCACTGCTGCCAGGACTGCATGATCAGGTCCTACTCCAAAAAATTTCACAGTACTTTATAACTGTCAAAGCAATTTGCCCATCAAATAAACATTCCAAGACTTGAAATTCTTATAAATTATTATTATTTATTTCCTGATAGTGATCTTCAACCTTCCACTTTGTATCATTAAATCTGCTTTAGTGCAACAAATGCACGTTAGTAGCTCCAGGAGATAATGACTTTTCACAAGCAAAGATAAATTGCCATAAACTACCCATGTAGAATTGCTTTTCACTGTAAAAAGCGATGGTCATGTAACACTTTCACTAATGCTAATTATCAGTTGTAAACTTTAGAGACACAAGCTTTACAAATGATGAATTAATGAACTCTCTGTATCATTTCCCATATTTACAATAAGTAATGAAAAGAGACAAAACACGTAGTCTTTCCATTTCGAAGGACTGGGAATAAAGTCTTATTTCTGCTAAAAAATATTTGATGGGCAAATCTGACACAATACTAAAATAATAATTTCTTTCTTGCCAAGAAGAGATTACTTAGTTCTCTCTCTCATGATGAGCAAAACACTCATTATGAACTGTTACCACACAGTTCACATCCCATGCATTCTTGCTTAACTGTGATTTAAAGTTTCATATTGCTAATGGCTCACTGTTCCCTAGCACTCAACTGTCTTTTAAGCTGAACAAAAATATGAATAAACTAAGAACATTAAGATTTATGAGTTGTCTTGGTGCCAGCCTTGCTATTAGATGCCACTGTCGTATCTTCATAAGAGTTTTTATAGAATACTTTCAACCTGTAACTACTATGAATGTAGTGACATTCTCAAATAGAAACTCAATCTGGTTTCTCAATTTTGAAAAGTGTTTGCTAATAAAAATGCTTTTGAAAAAAAAAAAAATCCCTTTCAAACTGAACACGTCTATGAATGATTTTTGTATGCCTTTAAAAAAAAAATCGTTGACAACACAAATGATTTTATATTTTAAAAAAAGACTAAAACAACAACAACAAAAAAACCTTTTACAATTTATATTCGACCCCTGAATTTGTGGACTGTTTTAAAGGTGATGTTCCATTAACACAGCTTAGAGACATTTTACTGACTTTATTAAGCCTTCATAGAGTTTATTAATCATTAGGAGAGACACCACCCCCCACCCCCCCAAACAAAAAAATCTTCACAATACTTATATGTTCTTAAACATAATGATTAAGGTAAAGTAGGGAGGTTTCTGCATACTTTTATCTTTTTATGTATTGTAGTTGGACTAAGAACATAATGGTAGTTTCCAAAGTGCCCCAAAGAGGGGCTCTGCCATTTTAGCCCTTCCAGTGATGGGGACAGTAGGGATTGGAGAAGGTTGGAGCAGTGATTTGCTGTGATCTGTTCTGACTCCAGGAGCATCCGTGCACGCGGCACCTTGGCCAGCAGTGCAGGTCACCCCATTGCCAGCCCGGGGGTGCACCGTGCACGTATAGTGCGCTATCTCCCAGAGGACACTGCCACTCAGGGCACCCCACGTGCATAACTTTGGTTCCAGCAAAAGAGAAAACATTTTGGGCACAGCAGTGGGGTACCTGAGTACCTGCTACAGCATTACCAGCCCTACACACATGACAAATTTGCACCAAACTCTCTGGCACTAAATCACTGATGTGGATGCATCTTACATGTCCTATATACATAAAGTTTAGTGACCTTTTTGTAATTTCTCAGCCTTGCTATTCCTATACTATATTTTTGGACAACTGTCTTCCCCTGGAGGTTGGTTTGGATATGATTAAAGACAGAAAAGACTATTTTGAAAATTGCAGAAGAGAAGACATTTCAAAAAACAGCCCAGCTTTTCCCTGGTCTATAGTTAGCGGATACAGTCAGTAAATTCTCATACATAGTTCTGTTCCCTTTTGTTTTCCTTTAATTATTAATCATGTAAGATTTAAATGTTGTTATACTTTGATACATAGTTAAAATTCATTTTAAAGTAAAAAAGTTGCTTTAAAATTAAATATTGATATTTGTTCTACATATTTGAGAGGGAGGGGAAAAAAAAAATAAATCTTTCTCCTGATTACAGGAAATTGAAAAAGCTTACCAAATGATCAGACAGGAACAGTCTAATTTAAATCCTGACCTTGGAGAACTCATCCCAGTTCCTTTATACCCCACAAGACAAGACGTAATTCCCAAACCAAATCAAGACAAACAGAAATGCTGCAAAAAATACAGAAGAAAAGTGCTACTCACCACAAGTCTTGGAGAATCTTTGATTTGGATTAAAAAAGTAACCTTTGTCATTGATGTCGGTGTTGAAAGAAGAAAGGTTAGTAAAGTTAACCAGAATCAGTATGCCAAAAAATGAACTATGCATAAGATTTTTTTCAGGGTGGGGTAAAGGGAAATGTGCAGCTCATAGATTGATGCAAATGGTTTCTAAAGGATCAAGTATTTTTATATTCTTTCATAAGTCAGATTCTATAATATTTTTAACATTCAAATTAACAAAATTTAAATACCTTTCATGGACATCTGATGTGAAAACCAAGCAAGAAAACACAATTACTTCCTAAATTCAGCCAGAAAAGAAAAGCTTCAAGTTTCTAAAGCCAGATTAACACTCCCAGCTGAAACTGCCATTTATTTGGGCATGAAACAATTGACATTTCACTTGCAAACTATCTCTCACTTTAGTTTGGGCCTATCAGTCATAATTATCTCTTCAGTATCTTATAGATAAAGCAAAATACAATCAGTTCTTGGCTACCTATTGGCAGATTACCTGGTTTAGTAGATTAACCTCATCCCTTGTTTAACAACTTTGTAATCAGTGTAGTGCCACAGATCATATAACGCCACAGGATGCTCACACAGGGAACCACTCCTTTTTAAAGCTGCTTGTGCTCCTTCCGGATACGTGCTTCCATCCAAGTACCTCAAAATGCTGCGATTTATCAAATTAATCTTGACCTTTTACATTTCATTCTATGTATGTCCTCGGTTCTTGTTTTCCACCCTATCCTGGGAAGGACTAGTGCAGCTGCAAACATGTATCTTTTGTTTCTTTCATTTATACAAATCTGATGTCCTAAAGAATGAGTGACTATGTAGGAATAAGTCATTACATGAATTGGAAAGCTGCACTACTACAGGCTTTGTAATGGTCCTACGTGTTTTGCTAGTCAAAATAAATATTGCAGGAATAAGCAAAAGAAACAATATAATACAGTTTCTTTATACAATCCAGAATGGAATCACCAAAATCAAAGTTAAGCGTTCCTGAAATTTTGGATCAGGGATCATTAACCCCGATTAGCCTTGAAAGTAGTTCAGGCAAAAGCTTGGGAACTGCCACTACCTTTCATTTGCAAAAAACTATGTCTAACACTATCATTTTTAAAGGTTCTCATATGGGAGTTTTAAACTAACTCAGCCTCAAGTCAAGGAAAAAAAAATAAAATTGTCATACTTTTGTGTGAAACTAACAAAAGCCTAAAAGCAGTTTTCAATTAGGCCATGCATAACAACTTATTTCTGGAACTACACTTGTCTTGGATGACGGAAATGAATCTCACTTCCACAGTAATCTGAAGCCCAAAGTAAAATTCAGTGCTTCCAGACTTCTGTGAAGCAGAAATATGAAGCAATGGGAACAAATCAGTTTCAACACAGTCCTGATGGCCATCAAATCACCTCTATTGGTTATGCAATTTTTACCCTTTAATTCAACTATTTTGTCCTAACAGCTAAAGTTTAGTCCTCTAATATTGATGCCACAGCAATTCAAATTCACATTCAGTCCACACGGCTAAAAGTCAATAGAACATAGAGGGAAGAGGCAAAATTTTGTGCAGAAAAAAATCCTGCATAAGTCTTGCAGTTGGGATATATAATAAATTTACCCAGAGGAAAAGAAATTTGTCCCCTGCACTGAAGCTCATTTTATCTTTTTTATTAAAGCCCTGCTTAAAGTAGACAAAGTTGATTCAGATGACATGATTAGAAAGTTGCCTTATCCAGATGTTTTATGTCTTGCCATATACTACAGAAGCTTAGGGACATCATCTGATGGTCAGAATAGTGAGTGAATTGGCTCCTCAGTTTAATCAAAATAAAGTACAATTAAGAAAAAAAATAAAATAGGGCATTGTACACCTTTGTTACAGTCCTTGTCTCCTGTACTGAAGTGACAGATTTCAGTATTAAGATAACAATCTGGAGTTATGGAACAAAATGCTATCAGACAATGTTGGGATTCTGTCATTGGAAGAAATAAATAATCTTTTTTGATGCTTTTCTCGATTATACCATAGGTATACATTTTGTGCTTTAGTAAGGTACATTTCTTCAGAAAAAGACATTTATCTTAGAGTATACTTACAGAGTTATTGCAAAACTTAAGTGTCTGTCAATTTATCAAAGTGCTGACTGCTCTCATTTCCAAGCTGGTGAAATATGTAGTATAAAAAGAAATGAAAATGTTACTACACTTTCTGTAAAATGACCTAGACAAAAATTCAATACAGACCATTAATATTTTTGTAGTCTTCACTTATCTGATGCTTAATATCTCTTTCATTTAAAGGTGTACAATCCTAGAATCAGAGCAGACTCTGTTATAACGCAGCCTATCAGCAAAAGTCAAGCAGAGATGCATAAACAAATTCTGGGCATGTCTTCATCAGGTAGAATTATTAGCTCAAAATTTAAATCCATTAGCTCAAAGTATTAATAGAATCAATGTGGTAATGAAAAAAAAAAAAAAAAAGTAATTTTCCTGAAATCTCTTCCAGGAAAACTCTTCTGCTTGTATCCTGAAGAATTTACATACAAAGAAATGAAATCACATCTACCAGCTAGAATACAGGAATCTAACCTAACTAGCATGGTTCTCTTCCTGAAGAGGATGGATATAGCAGGGTTCAGACACTGTGACTTCATAAGCAGGCCAGGTAATGATGATGCACCAATTTTCCATATTTTATTATTATTTTTGCAGTTATTTAAAGATTAATTTTGTCCTGTTATTCACAGTACTGTTTTTTATTGAAGTACTTGTAACAATATTGCTACTGCTTTTACCACTTATCTGCTAGAACCATGCAAAATGCAATAGTTGCACTTAGAAAAATGGTACCATGTATGAACTGTTTGCTCTGAAAAAGGCCATAGAGTATCTGAATGGAATTGGAATGAAAAAAATCAATATTCCAAATATCTTCTTATCTAGGTTTCATATTATTTTCCTGGAAACCACAAAGAAAATTTGTCCCCCATCGTACAAGGCATTGTACACATATCTAATAAAACATATTCCTTTAATCAAAAGTTTACAACCCAAATAAACTACTGTTGTCACCTAGGAGATATATTTGGAGGAAATCAGCTTTCTTCTTATCCTCCAGCATCTCCCACCTCAAATTTACAATAAGCTGTTACTTAAGGACAATATTATTTATAAAATAAAGCCAAATAAACTTTCAATACTAGACAGGGAATACTCTGAATTTTGAAGTAAAAGTGTGAAGAAAGTGGTTGCTTTTTTTTTTTTTTATTTTTCTGACTTCATATTTTAGGGCTTTTTCTATAGAATTATATTCTCCTTTGTTCTGACCTACCACAAAACCCAAGTACCACTGCAAATTCTGCTATTGATTTGAAGCCAATTAAACTGAGGGAAATAGTACTGATTTCACTGGTTTGGGGATCATGTGACCTACCGCTAGCTTCATTTATGATAATTTTCCAGTGTAAATAGGAAGAATTCCTATATTATCCTCCCTTTCCTCATGCACATACATAAAATTAGAACAATCACTTGTCTTCTACCTGTTGTGCACTGTAATTAATCAGTAATAAAGAGTTTAATTTCCACTGTTGCACGTTGTGATAGATTGTAAGTGGAATTTTTAAGTAGAATTTATTCCACTTTTCCCTTGACTGCCTGTTTAGCAGAAACATGCCTAAAAGAAATGTGAAAAAAGCATTGCCAGTCTGAGCAGTAACTCATTCAAGACTGATGAGAATTAGAGTATTTTGGCCCTATGAGTGTCACCTCTTGTGTCGAATCTAGGAAACCTTAATGGAAGATGGTTATAGAATACAGTTGGCTTCCACTCAAATTTAGGCAGTATTTTACCAAAAGAAAAAAAAATAATTCTAAAATGTATTGTTGCTTTTACTGAAGAGAGGTTGTGGATGCCCCATCCCTGGCAGTGTTCAAGGCCAGTTTGGATGGGGCTTTGAACAACCTGGTCTAGTGGAAGGTGTCCCTGCCCATGGCAGGGGGGCTGGAACTAGGTGATCTTTAAGGTCCCTTCCTACCCAAACCATTCTGTGATTCTATGATTTAAAGGCACAATGGAGACAGTTGGTATTCAGAGAGAACAAAATGCTAGAGGCATTTAAGGAATTCACAGACGTAGGAATTCTAAGTTTTGTCTGTATTTTTGAGGTAAGGCAGCTGAAGAAAGCATCTTGCTGATGTGTACAAAATTGTAAAGGCATTTGATGAATGCATCAGCTTTACTTGGATTGGCATCAAATATGAAAAAGTTTTTGCTAACTAGATCAAAAGCGCAAGGTCAAGGTATTGAAAAGTTTGAGGAACTACTGAAACAGCGTGAGGAATGTTAGACAAACTCTTTGACCAAAGAAAAAATCCCACAAACACTGTAGGGGGTCCACTGAAAGGAGATGAGAAAGTCTGCACAATTTCCTCGTCTCCTTCCTGTCTTAAGGCCCCACACAATTAAACATTTGAAACATTGCTTTAATTGTCTAGTACAACGCTTCCTTTATCCTAGGCTAGATCACACATTGGCTTTTTTTGCCTTGGAGCTTTCTTTTTCCAACTTCTGACTGGGCAACAAACCTCTTCCCTACTAATACTTAAGTTATATCCCTACCACAATTCTCCAGAGATGACTATATAGCTCACACTATCGGAATAAAGACAGTTTGAAGTATCCGGTTGGTCTGAAAGAAACAGAAATACTGAAGGAAGCAAATTTGTAAGGGGAGTTAGTTATTGTATTAGACCAACTTACAGAACTCAAAATATGTCAAGCTTTCAAGCACATAAAACCTTCTTTTGGGCCCTCCCAAAAGCTTTGGGTCAATGATCTTAGCCTGTGAAAGCCCAAGTTTTCTTATTCTGCGCTGAGATAGCCCCAACCTGCCGTACACACTCAATGCCACACAGGTCTCCAGTGGCTAAAGAAGCACGACCTCCTCCAGCAGAAGTAGAGACCGAATGTAAAGTCACACCACGGAGTCCTTGCTGCCCAGTTCCAAATACCTCTGGTATCCAGTTAAAGGGTAGCCCTGAAGCTTTTGAAGTGATTGCTATTCACTAAGGTCAAATAGATGTTACACCCTTCTGGATTATGTACTGCAGGAGAATGTTGCAGAGTAGGCAAAGAGAAGAGTTATCAGAGATGGAAAGCATCCTTTCTTGAGCAAGAGATTTTAGCTTCCCAAGAAGGTTTCATTATCTTTGCTGCAGCTGGTTTAGTTGCATAAGCTTTCTGTAACCTGAAGTGATGAAAAATGCTGAGGAAGAGGAGGAGGGCTCTCTGAGATGGTATACAGACCTAAGTGAAAAAGATGAGCAACAAAGCTCACAAAACAAGCAGTGTGGCTTTACTGACCCTAAGAAAACTCCTGGGCATATCAGTTCTTATTCACATCTACTGCCAATGCATACAAAGCCAATTTGCCCACCCTCAACCAAACATGCCACAAGATCAACTGGACCGAAAAAACCTCCCACAAACAAGCAAACAAAAAGACATGGCAGTATTTCTATATGCTCTCATTTGACCTGGCCAAATCATACAGATGCTAAAAACACAAACAGCCTTTCTATTTCTGCCCAGCACAGTTTGTCCTGGGCTTGGCTATTCCGTGTCTCTTCTCCTTGGACTTGATTTCCCTTTGAGTAAAGCAAGTAAACACATTGCAGCATCCCCCATGTGCCACACATGCCACAGGCTTTCCTATCCACCATTTCTGTTCAGCTAACATTCTCAAGTTTTCTTTGCAATTGAAACAGATGGAGCCTTTGGGTTCTTTTAACCCAAGGTGAATTTTTCCTAAACAAAATAATGTTTTCACTGAGATGACAGAGTAACGTATGGACATGAACTACTGAACAAACAAATCAAAAGTACACCGAAATTCATAGCAAGAATTCAAAGAGAAGTACTTCACAGTCCATTCCCTGTACATGAAGTAGAGAACATATAGCAGATAAGTAAAGAAACAAAAATTACATCAGTAAAACATTTTATTTCTGCTCAACAACAATGTGCATAAGGTTTTTTTCTGCTGCTCTTTGAGGAAAAATAAAAGCCTGGATTAACTCTGACTCATTACTGCATTGTGAAAGCAACAAACATGTCAGGCTTACAGCTGCTGCATTTAATTCACACTATAATCGAGATGAGCAAATGCAGTGGACTTGTTACCCTTTTTAGAATTCATGAGCCATATGAAAATGTATTTGGCACTGCAGCTCTGAAGTGCATTATTTGAATTCCTGTGCCACTATCATAGGGATGTGTTTACATTTTTATCAGTTAATCAGCTAGATCTTTACTGTGTTATATAATGGGACAAAAGAACTCCTTTCCCATAGATTGCGGCAGCATTATGTATTTTTGTAAATCACGGGAAAATCCTTATTTTATCCTTAATAAGGATAAAAGTGGATACAGAAGTGGATACAGTAGTGTCACCGAAGCTCACAGTTCTCCTTGTAAGAAGGACTCAGTCTTTGATTAGACAAAAGTGCTTACTCTTGTACTTGGCTTTGAGCATCTGGAGGGTCCCAGGGCCCATTCAGCAAAGTACTTACTTACATGCAAGGGATTAAATCTTGCTCTGTTGAAATCAACAGAAGTATGAGGATAAAAAATAAAATAAGGATAAAAAGGATAAAAGGATAAAATAAGGATAGAAGTATGCAAATCAGTATAAAGATGAAGCCATGTAAAATTTCCATAAGAAATCAAGGTGAAAGCAGTTTGCATATGCTGCATTCATGCAGAATTACCATAAACAATTTTCAGATTAAAATATTTGTTGATGGTCATGGATACCATGACTTTTGAGTGCTATGCTATTATTATAACCCCACTGAGAATATATTTCTAGAATATCCATAACAACAAGAGTTGTATAAATGCATATAATTTCAAACTGTTTCAGAAACAAAATTTGTTTGTGTATCTTTTCATTAGAAACAGACTGTCAAAGACAGAAACTCAATGCACCATGTAAAGTCTGCTCAACAGAGGTCACTTCATGGCAGATTCCTTATCTTAAGTTCACTTGTTGATTTTTGATGTCTTAATTTCTGCATTTCATCAATTAAATAGTATTATATATCTCTTAATGAAAAGCTTTCTGATAGCATAGACATGGCCACATACCTCATAGTCTTCATTGCACAAATCAGTGGAAAAGCATAAAAGGAATTGGAGGAGGTAAGGACCAGACAGCAAACACACACTGGAATCAAAGTATGGACTGGACAACCTGATGCTTAGCAGCAGTCCCATATCTATGGGATAAGAGGCATCAGGAATGACAGTCACTGCAGTATGTATAGCCCAATAACTGAGCACATACCACACTGAATGTAGACAATTGTTTAGAATAGGGAGCTGGTATCACAAAGGGCATCCCAAAAATGAGAAGGGGTAGCCCTCATTAGTAGGTTAAAGCTGGACTACTCTCATGCCACTTACTAGAGAGTAACAAAAGAAACCAAAGTGATTAAAAATATTTTTTATGACATTATAGAATATTCTTTAAATTATACTCTTTGTTGATATACATGTTGCACAGTCACGTACATGCTTTGAGGATGACACAAAGCAGACAGAAAACCAACTTCACTAAACAGTCAGTGCTATCGCTGGTGTGTGGATATTACTCAGTATATTTGTGTTAGAAAAATGCAGGTCAGCCTCTGTTCTGGCTGTCCCTGCTAGCAGAAAAGCACAGTAGGGACCATTACCAGCCAGCTTGGAGGAGTGAAGACACAACATAAGGGGGAATGGAAAGATTGTAAGGTATGAGTTTGGAAAAGTAATTTTTAATCATCAACTATAACTCTAATTTCAAAATAATAGTTATGGAATTGGTGACTTCAGAGCATGACAGACTCAAAAAATCCTACCTCAGAAGCTATAGGGGGGGAAAAAGAGAATCAAGATGAAACCTGCACACAGAAGCTTGTCCTTGCAGAAGAAAAATCTTTGCATAATTTGAAGAAAACTTGGCACTAGATTTCTCCATATCTTCAGTTTGCTATCCAAGGAGCAATGTTAAAAAACAGTAACAGAAAACGCCATTCCCCAGAACTGTTCTCCCTGCAGTAATTACTTTGGCAGTTCTTCATGCCGTTAAGCCTAACAGAAGCTGGAAAAACTTGTGGTTTGCCAGGCAGTGAATCAGCTCCTTAAAGACAACATCCCTTCACCTGAAATTCATGTCAGCTCTAACTTTATAACAGTTATTTCCGTGGAAAGAAAAGATCTGTCAAGGAAAAAGTATTTTACATACTCAACATTTTCACAGAGTAGGAAACCAGAACACAGGACCTGTAGATCCTCTAGATAAGCATGATACAGCAGTTAAATGGACTATTAAAAATCATGAAATTTACATTTCATTCCTATCTCTATCATTCACTTCTTACAGAACTTTGGGCAAATCACTAAATCACTTGCTTCCTTACACAACAAGAATAATACTTTTGTATTTATTTTATCACACCTTAAGCACTTCAATTTCATCCATGTCAGATGTGATACTGAAAAGATTAAAGGTGCAGCTACCTTTAGAAACATAACTTACTCTGTTCATGTCAAAGTGACAAAAAACTGTGAAACAACGAATATCACTTTAAATTAGCCTGAAACTCTCAGAGAAATGATTTCAGTGCTAACAATAACACTTAGTTAAGTATTTGCTTTACTAAGCCTAAGTATGATCAAGAGTAGGATCTGTATTTATAGAAAACTGGTCAGATTTCCTGAAACAAGTCCAGAGCAACCCAGTCTTAAGTAGCCAAAGAACACAGGCAAGGGAAAGAAAATATCAGATAAAGAAATACCTTTTAAACTTCCAGGGATGTGACAGTTTCTTGCTGAAAATACAGGACACATCTTGAGAGCTTCTTTTTAACTTTGCTCCTGTGAAAGCAGCAGTCAAGTCACAAAGCCTTGTGGTTTGCCTCGATGGCAGCAGTGGTTGGCGTTGGCAAGCAGCCCTAAAAATAATGACTCTTGCTAGAAATCATTGTAAGACAATGCAGATTTCTGTTCCTTAAAAAGAGCTTTCCATATCTAAACGCTTACACTACTTCTGTTTTATCATAGTTTTTATTTAAAAAGGAACCATACCATAAAGAACTCTCAAATGAGAGTTTGCTGTTCTTACAATGGCTTTTTATTGAGTTTGTGCCTCAAAATGCAGACCCATACCTGAAAGCCCTATTCTGTTTTTCTTTTTTTTTTTAATTGTTCCTTCACCTGCTGTAATCTACCTTTACTATCTTGTCTTTTCTAGCACAATAAAACCCCAGGAGTAGTCTTCATTTTCTTTTTTTTTCCCTTTTTTTTTTGTAACACTGATAGCAAAATCGGGAAGTAATTTGTGCTTATAAATCTCAAGGCAACTAACTCTAGGGCATAAAAATGCAAATTACTGATGCTACCAGGGGATTGAAAATGGCTGCCATATAACCATATATTTTGTGGGTTCTAGCACAAACTACTTTGTTGATTTCTGGAAATTAGCTTTCCATGATTTCCTAGTAATTACTATATGTCTGAATGACCATTTTACTCTCCCTGTATTTTCAATCACCGATACCTATTTCCTGCCACTGACTCTTATTCTTCATCAGCTGTTACTTTTCATTTCTTTAAACTTCCTAAGTATTTTCTTCTCAGATGCTTTAGCTATTGCAAGGGCTCATCTTTTATCCCATTAAACCTCATATGTCTGATAAGAAATGTTCTCTCTAGACAGAAACCCCTCATGTTATACAGGCAGAGATACGAACTCTAATACTGAAATGAAACAGGTCCACAGTTTAAACAGGAATTTACAGACTCATGAGAGAATTTCTCTAAAAACTAATAGTAAGTGTTTTAAAATTAAGTGAAGTCACAACACTAACAGATTCACAGGCTGGAAAAGTTCTGTAAAAGCTCACATAAGAGAAATTAATAAACTATTTTTTCCCTTCAAACATTAGTAAAAGAAAAGTTTTAAAACAAAAGGTGGTTGCTTGCTTCCCATTTTACCTTTTTCTTTACCTTATTATAACTAGTTAATTACAGTGATGGCAATAAACTAGCAGTTCACTGCTAACAAGTAAAAACCCAAACTCAAGATTTTCCTGCAGGAAGGCAAGGCACCTGAAATGCAGCGTTATGGCTAAACACGACATACCAGCTCCTTACAGGCTTGCTTTTTCTTTTAATCTTCGTGATGAAGAAGTAGCCTGCCAAAGACAGGTTCCCGTTCACACTGAATTCAAGCAAGAAATTATTTCTAGTCATCTACTAATGGAGATAAAAGAACAAATACACAACCTGCCTGTGTGGGTAGCTGCGGTTGTATTTTGTTTTTTTTTTTATTTAGAGATTTTTTTGACATTAATATGCAATGTGACAGCAGCCCACAGAAGCCTGAAAAGTTGCCGGTGCAGTCATTAATTTCCCAGTGCTGGGTATGCTCGGCTGGGGACAAGGCCAAGTCCTGCTGTAGTGGGATTTTTGCCACCAACTTCAATGGGACTAGAATTTAACTTGTTATCCATAAAACAGAGAGAAAATATCAAACAGTCCCTTAAACTGGAATAAGGAGAAAGTTGCTGCAGTGATAGGAGAGCAGTTATGAATTTAAATGAACTGGCGCTCATAAAAGATATTCACCATTACAGTAAGACCTCAAATAGAAAACTACCTTTGAAAAGAGCTGGGAGGAAATAGCCTTCACACTTCAAGAGTTCCCAAATTTCCACCAATGTCCTTCATGCTCTAGCAACTACTTTTTGGAGAATGTAGGCTTGACAACTTCCACTCAGCTTTCAGGTTCACTCTCTCTAGCTGCAGGACTGTAGCCACCGTGGCTGCACATAAAGCTCTTCTATGCTTGTTTTGCCAAAGGGACCTACTTGCATCAACAGCAGATTTCCTATAGACCTGCTTGAGTTCTCATTTTAGGTACCGATTTGCTTAATCCTGTCCTTTCAGACATGTTTTCTTATCACTGCAACTGTGAGGGTCTGAATTCCTTACACCATTCATTCAGCAGAACAAAATGTCACTGAGAAAACACTTAGACTAACTTTTTCAAAATCTGAAAAAAGTCAGAATAACGCTTCAGATTCTTCTGGCACCATCTATCAAAAGAAAAAAACAGTCAATAATAGTAAAAGGGTTAGGGTATACATAAGCTGATTCTGTCTTCCATTGCCTCAGATGCAGAAAAGCAAGAGAAAAAATAGTGGGAAAAAAAAAAGCTAAAGGAGAAATGCAGCATGATACTTAATGAGAGAGTCTTTGTCAAACTCCTTTGTTATTTACTCCCACCCAGCTGAGAGCTTCAGAAGAGCTACTACAAATGCCATCTTTTGGTGTATCAAGAAATAACTGATAAGATGTAATGATAACTGATGAAAGGTGTATTTGTGTCCATGGGGATAAGCCACTTCTCCTGTATCTTCAAATCTTGTGGGTTGTTGATTTCATTCACCCTCATTCATGAAAGAGGAAGACAGACCTATGACTTATGCAGGTACTCCTCATAGAATAAGCTTAATATGCCATTGATCAAAACTGAATTAATTGAACAATTAACTGAATTAATTGTTGATACTCTAGCAGTCTTCAGAAAAAGCACACGGACCACTTTAGCCTGAAAGCTCAGTGTTCAACATATGCAAAGCAAACCTTCCTACCAAACACTCCTGGCAGGCCTCACTTGCATTTACCTAACTTCTAAGACACAAACCCCATCACTTCAGTCTTTGTTCTCCTCTGCTTTCACTGTTCAGATGCCCATCTTAAACGCTAAACCCTAACTCATTATATCCTTCATGTTTGCCTCTCTTCAGTCCATCTCGTATTCATGCTCCCTACTCACTGTGTGGTCCAAATTCACTTATTTCCTACTTTTTTCCCAAATCAGTTTCTCAGCCTACCTAATTATTTTCCTATATTCACTCATTATTTTTTCTGCCTCACTGTTCGCACTTCTAACTATGGAGGTTGTAAGGAAGTTATAACCTACAATAAGGGAAAATTGAACATTTAATTTTGGGCAGTGAGAAAGTACAGCCAATTGCTAGGGAGACATTTTCTTTTACTATGTTCCCATTTTTCTTCTGACATCATGAGAAACTGTGTAAAAAAATAATAATAGCTAAAAAAAAAAAGGCAACGAAGAGAACTCCAAATACCTGCAAGAATGGTAAAATATCTACAACTTCTGTAGATGTTTGTGTATCTCTCAGCACCCCTCAAATGTGACCACCCCTCTCTAAAATGAACGTACACACAAAAAAATACCTGAAGACTACCAATAGTGGAAGGAGTTTTTTACATAGTCTGGGCGCAATACACTATTCAGCACTGTGTCTGGACTTTTGACAAAAACTGTTCTGACACAAAAAAAATCAACAAAGTTATTTGCAGCCCTATAATTGTTAGCCCTTATGTTCTTCCTCTAGAACGTTCTCAGCCTTCCGTTTGTCTCATTTATTACTTTTTCTTCTTACTCATTGTGAAATAATAGAAGCTGACTTCCATTATTTTCACACAGGAGTATACAACTGAAATACTATAATGAGAATTCAGACATTCATTTATATGTAGCCATTCTCAAGAATTTGAATTATCTTTCCTTTTTATTAGCTCCCGAAAGCCTGATGCAGGCTTTGGAAGATCTCGATTATCTAGCAGCCCTGGATAATGATGGAAACCTTTCTGAATTTGGAATTATTATGTCAGAATTTCCCCTGGATCCACAACTATCAAAGTCAATCCTGGCTTCGTGTGAATTTGAGTGTGTTGATGAAATGCTAACCATCGCGGCCATGGTAACAGGTACTTGTAAATAACGTCTTACTGCATGGCTTATGCCACCTGCCAAATCCACGTAGATTCTTTCAAAGTCTTATTCACAAGGGCAACCCAAAGGCAAACTTTTGTTATTCACATCCTGCTTATTTCAAGTAAATTAATAACTTTGGCTGTTTAAGTCTTGACTTCAAGCATGCAATGAAACACAAGTAATGAATCCATAAGTAGCGCTCCATTTCCATGCTTCAGCTGCCCCATTAGCTTCCAACCTTTTGTCAGAAAGCATACACAGGACATCCCTTCAAAATGAACATTCTCATCTCACACACATGTACATTTGTTACAGACGAGCAGCAAATTAGGAGAAACTCTAATTATAAACAATATTGAACTGTTGACATACATAGAATTACTTTGTGATCTGTTTCTCCACTTCAAATATTTTATAAAACTAATATAACCTTAAGTATCCATACCATTCTGTCCTGATGGATCGCTCTGCTCCTACATGGCACTGTGAGACAAACCAGCTGGCCCCAAAGACTGGACACATGAGGTCTGGACTGGAACATTTATATTAGAAGGTTTTTAACTATAGAACTGCTTTCATATGATGCGACAGAACTTTCAACCCAACACATAAACCCCAGAGATTTAAAACTTTTTCATTCTGCGAAAGCTGCTATTGAAATCTTAATACAAAGATGTACAAAATCAAAGATTTTAGGATAGTCGAGAGGAGGGCGACTCCAGAAGTTCAAACAGCAAATAATGATGATGACTTCTCAGGATCCTACCAGACAGTGCAGGACAGGGCTAGACTTACATCCCTTCGGGTCTCAGTGTTACAGTGATGGTGGCTCCAGCAATATTTAGCTGTCTTGCTTCTCTCCACAGCAGCCGCCTAACCATATAGCACTATGCTACTGATTTTACCGCATAACTCTAGTACAGAACCAATGCTTGAGAGCTATCTACTGCTCAACAGCCACAGCTTAACTTTGCCTATAGAGAATGTTTTAGCATGGCATTATTGTACTCTGCCCAGAGGGAACATCTTAGGCCCAGAAATTGGTGAGGAGTCTTAGACAGCAAGGACATGAACACACAGGATACCATGCTGAATTAGTTGTTTTCCTTATAGAACAACTTGGTTTTATGCCTAAACTGGTTTGATTTTTAATAGTGGGCCTAAACTTGTGATAAAATTTTTAAGTACATACAATAAATGTAAACGATTGAGCATAGACACACTTTAGTTTTTAAAAAGCTCAACCATCTCAAAAGACACAATTATGTAGCACAGTACCACAACAGAAGTAAAATGCACTGGAAGGCACAAATTTCAACATACAGGAGCAAGTAAAGGCATTACATCCATAGATTTAGTTTCTTTCTATATTAAAGAAACCATATGCTTGGATTCTGGATAAATTGGAACATGCCATTATGAAGTATTTTTGGCACCAGTCTAGGAGAAAGCTGCTCACCTTCTTTTGTGTTTGCAGCACAAATTAACTAAACAAGATTGAAAGAACATCCACATAAATAAAACCTTAGTGAATGCAATAGATTCAGTTCAGCAGCAATCCAACACTGAAGATTAAAGGGAACCGAGAAAGGAAAAAACCAAAAATACCAGTGGAGTTACTATCTGTGCATGCACCTGCATGTCTTAATAACCACTGGCTTGATTTTTTTCTAAGCTCCGAATTGCTTCTTACACGCACCTCCTGGAACAGAAGAGATCGCTCTTACTTGCTGGCGAAAATTCTCACACCCTGCAGGAGATCACTTCACCCTTATCAATGTCTTCAATGCCTTCAAGGAAGCCAGCGCCAACTCCGCAAACCAATGTAAGTGTACCCATACCAGACAAAATGAAGCACATTGTAACCAATTTTGAAAACACAAAACAAAAATCTGAACGGTCATTGTTAGCATTAATTAATAAACCCTTTTTGAGTGATTCCTTCTAGAATTACTAATTTGCAGGGAGAAACCCAAAATAGTAGACATTGCAAATGCGTATTAGTTTTAGTTTACTAACTAATTGAAAATGACCTAGGGCAGCATACCTCATCCAACAAGGGTATGTAAGCACTATTACAATTGTCATTTTAAGTGATACTGTACAAAAACAGAATGATGGTTCCTCCTGTAAGAGCACATAATCAAGGTTTAAGATGTGAAGTGACAAAGTTGAGGAGGGACTTGATTCCCCCAGCAGCCTAACAATTCTGGTGTTTTTTTCTGACAGCTGTCAACTAAAAGGAAAGTTTAAGGGAAAAAATTGAAAGTAGTGAAGTTCACATTTACAGGAAAGCAAATAAAAGCCAGGGGACTGCACAGCAGACAGCAGCTCTTCACAGCTTTTTCCTGTGCTCAAACATCTTGCTCAGGTTCATTTAGCCTGAGTCCAGTACTTGGAGTGCTAAATTTGCATATACTAACTAAAAACTTAGGACAGAACAGTAGGATTGTTTCATGTTCAGTCATGCTGAATGCTGAAGAGAGGTCCAAGAGAACCTGTCCTTCACCAGCATGCAGGATCATCACCAGCGTTACAGATGTGATTTCAGTTCCATATCCTGGCCTGAATCCAGAAAGCCTGAAAATAGAGTTTCTACTCATTCCATTTGAAGCTATTACTTTTTACAGACCAAATAAGGGATTTTGAATATTTTTATGCAGAAAGATATAGCTAAAATTCTATAAAACCAAGTAAGGATATCGAGTACTGCCCACTTACTTTACGAGCAGTATCAATGAGCCTAAGCTGCCCACATGGCTCTTGGTATCAGAATTTTGGACAGCTCTGACATAGCTAGTCGCTCCAAAATGTTTTTAATCTATTGCACCAGTCAAAGAGCATTTTATAGTGCAGTATCTCTGTGGATAGTACCTATCAGTAAGACTGCTTTAAGCCAAAACACTGTTTTTTCCTCCACAGACTACAGTAATGAGAAATGGTGTCGTGATTATTTTCTAAGCTGTTCCGCACTGAGGATGGCAGAAATTATAAGAGCCGAACTAGTAGAGATTATGAAGCGTATTGAACTTCCCATTTCAGAACCGGACTTTGGATCAAAAGAAAATATACTAAGCATTAAGAAATCTCTCTTATCTGGTTACTTTATGCACGTAAGGAAAAATACTGTGGTTTCATCTTACTGCATTGTTAAGTTATATAGAATGCTGTCAGAGAACTTAAGTTAGGTAGTGAAATCTCTCGATCATCAGAAAGGATAAAAGCCATTTTTCCCAAGTGTAACAAACACTTCTGCCGATGCCAATCTTCTGTCTGGGGTTTAGCTATCACAGCATGAAGTCCACACATTTCCCTGCAAGAGGAAAACTGTCAATATGCCTTTCACTCACAAAACTCTTTTACCTCAAAAAATTCTTTAACTTGTAATATTCTCTCAGACGTTATTTCCTTTTTGAAGATGTTTTTGCGAAAATACCCTGGAAACAGAGAATCGACTTGTTGAGTATGTTTAGATATACATAATATACAGTTTTCTTCATCTCAAACAAATGAGGTACTCTAACTGTAGTTGTAAACATGAACAAGAAAGATTTAATATATTCCCACTCAAAAACATGCTTTCCTTCACATCACTATGCTCCGCCTAAATACAAGAACGACTCCTCCAAACTACACTACTTCAAGTAGTATTTTAAAGTCTTACAATTCTTCAATACATCTGTTTTCACATAGACCCTTCAAAGCCAAGTTCAGATACTTATTGTGTAAGCATGCCCTCATTTGTTGCTGACAGTTCCCTTTCAAATATACTGATCAACATTTTCTTTAACCCTAAGCCTCATTTCATAGTATCCAGTCCCTAGCTTTCCCATAGAAATTTGGGAAGAGGTTTAGGCTCTGCAGTTGAAAGTATCTAAATACGAGTTTAATTCCTGGGTTTAATATAATAGGCAAACACTGATCTATGCATCTCATACATTCAATTAAGTAATGGATAACTCCTTGCATTTTTTTTTTATTAGATTGCTCGTGATGTAGATGGCTCAGGTAACTACTTAATGTTAACACACAGACAAGTGGCCCAGCTTCATCCTTTCTCATCATATTATAACACCAGAAGGATTCCTGAGTGGGTTTTATTCCACGAGTTTAGTATATCAGAAGACAATTCCATCAGAGTCGTCTCTGAGATATCACCCGATCTGTAAGTTAACAATGATGAAACTGTTTCTTCACTCATACCTCTATCACAAAAGCAAGTTAACTTAAGTCACAAACAGGATAAGGATGTGTGTGTACATTGAGAGCAATGCTTGGAGAAGTCAACGCCAGTCATCTCCTTTTCCTTCATCTCTGCCACAAAAATAGCTATCGTCTGGTTCTGTTGAGAAAACATTCCGTGCATAACTGATTCACTCTAGGTATGGATGTGGTTTAAAAAAAAAAAAAGAAAAAAAAAAAAAAAGAAAAAAAAAAATCAGTAAAATAGGCATAAGAGAAGAGGACAATTTTCATACCTAGTCAAGCAACAAGAGGAGTTGGCATCACTGGAAAGGTGAAAAAATTGTTGCTTTTCATACTTTTTATATTCACTAGTGAGTATATATGGGATAAATTTTATTTCTTTGTTGCCAGTATTGTTCTGTCACTGTGTGTAGCTTTGCTTGATGTCTTCATTTTCGTTCAAAACACTCACTGCATTAGAGCTCAGAACTATTAAAAAAGGGAAGAACTGTGATCTCCCACCCTTACTATTCTTTTCATGCAAACGAAAACACCATTTAAGTCAGCCTTTTTTATTTCCTAATGTGTGCTGATCTGTTCAGGTAATGAAGTAAGTCTCAATGTCTGCTGCTGCAACTGTAATCAATTCATCCATTGAAAAAACACCTTACAAGTTGCAAAAGTTCCTTACAAAGTACAATATACAGAAAAAAAAATCAAGGAAGAGTTAACACAGCAAGGTACTCATAGATTAATCTAGCTGGAAATTTCTTTGTTCCCTGAAAAGCTATTTTCCAGCAAATCTTTTTCTCGACATGTTTTATGTACCCAGCCAGCTAAATCATCCCATATCAACTGTTTATGGATTCAAGAAAAGACTACAGTCTTCCTTCTGCAAAAATCTCTTTACAACGAGAATATACATTTCACTGTCCTATCTCTTCTATTTCCAATGTTTATAAGAAAGGCTTTTTCATAATTTTATTGAACCCAAAATAAGTTCAAATCCAGAAAAATTACTATTTCATGTGATCTGCAGCATTGAGAACTGAACGACAATCACCTGAAGTGTAGACTGAGTACATTAAGTGCAAGTCTACTGAAAGCACAAACTACTACTGCATCTTGCAGAGTTTTGGTTTTGAGTTGAAATACCAACTTTGTAGCTTTATGCATCAGCATGTTGCTGATGTCTTTTGTACAAGCCTGCAAATAGCTACTCAAACATTTCAAAATTCAATTAAAAAAAATAATAATGTTTTGTCTTCTTTCCTCATCAGATTCGTGGAGCTGGTACCTCAGTATTATTTTAGCAATCTCCCTCCTAGTGAAAGTAAGGATATTCTGCAGGAAGTGATCAATCACTTGTCACCTGTTTCAACCATGAAGGAGGAACAGAAAACTAACAATGACAACAAAGAAAATGAAAAATTTCCCCAAAGTCCCACTGAACAAAGATGTATTATTCAGTGATTTTAGACTGAACTATCATATATATTGGACAAATATAAATAAAAGCGGTATATGCAATATACATCCCCATCTTAACCCATGTAATTATTTCAAACTTTTGACACACACATATTTAACAGAAGAAACACAGAAAAAGCACTTTTCTCAACAAAAGGAATTGCATGCATTATTTAGTAACAAAAATATACGATTTAGATTTGTTTAAAAACATATTGAGCAGATCTTCAAGTTTTCTTGTAACATTGGGGTTTTATTGACTGCTTAATGATGATACCAAAGCATTGTAAGATAAAATATTTAAAAATATTAAATTGATGGATATTTTTAATTGTACCACCTACTTGTCTTCTAAGTGTACAGAGGAAGCATTTGAGCAGTACAAAACCATTAACTCAATAGCAGTCTTCTGAAAACATTGTGAAATCAGAGTTCTGCATGGCTGCTTTATAAAAAATGGTGTTTATAGGAAAGTTCAGAGTGAGAGATAATCTTTGAGTTTATCCATAATTACATTAATTCCATCAGCTGGAACTATCATAACAGTCCGTGAAGGTTTCATTGGTACATCATCAAAGGACCATTTGCCGCCCAAACAGGTGTCACTTTCCTCTTGCACAGAGTAGCTGAACTTCAGAAGGGCTTTCTAAACAACAGAAATAAATGCATTAGGACAAAAATTTTTAATTAGCATGAAGATATTACATCATCTAAACAAAGTAAAAACGACTCTATTATGCACATGCTTATGAAGAAGTTATTTTCTTCCCTCTCAAAAGGTCCACCAAAAAAACCTAGAAGAGAATCCACTATTAAGTGTTTCAAACTATTTGCTTTTCACAGAATTTATATCATTCATATTAAACTCTAAAACGATTGCTATCTTTATAGTTTGGTATCAGAAAAAAGACCTAAGAGGAGAAAAAAAAAAAAATGCCCCCTTTATATGCTTAGTGTGCCTCATTTTAGATGGTTCTAAGACAGCATTTCATTCCATGTTATCACATCAAGAAATGCCAACCCTCAGAAGCTATTGTGCCAACTGGCAGGGATCCTTGACCAGTAACAGGAATATCAGGTTCTTAACAGACTTTCAACCCCAGAACAAGAGCAAACCATTAGCTGTGTAATTATGAGAATTAGCAGATCAGCCAAAACCCAGGTAAAAGGAACAGCGAGAAGAGTGCAGGTAGAAGAGAGCCTGCATTAAAGATGATAGCTTGGTGTAGGCAACATGTGGCAGGCCTGTAGCAATGAACAGGCTCTGCTCTTCTCATGGCCAACTCTAAAACTGCTCAGAGTCCTAAAAATTAACGTATCTGTAAGAATATGCCATACAGTAATCCCCTCTTTCACACTGCCAGTAGAAATTAAATATTAAGGGGATGGGCACTAATATGAATTCTGAGCAGAATTTCAAAAAGCTCTTGGAAAGTCTCTAGATGGCTGGAGCCACTGAAAGACACACTGATAAAGGATGCTTCTTCAAATAGGTAGGTATCCATAACGTGTATTATTTCTTTTCAGTGATATATACGGCACACAGATAGAACAGTCCCTATTTATTAGCTTTCCTAGACAAAATGCCTGATGGATAAGAAAAACTTAAACCTAACAAATGTTCCTAGTTCCCACACGAGTCAGATTAAAAAGTATCAACTCAACTCCTAAGCAGAAAAACTCATCTAACCTCTTCCCTTTGCAAGGAAAGTTAAGATCCAGCCTCCTTTTAGGCTTGCTATTTACTAACAGTATCTCAAGGTTGTAAATTTAATTTTGGAAGAACCATCATATAATTTGGGTGGCTTTGTGCAAGAACAAACAATTTGAGCAATGGAGGCCCTAAACCTTTAATCAATTCCAAGTCGGCTTATAACAGAGCTTTTCTTCTACTCCCTCAATAACATTTTAAGGAACAGAATAAAGCACAGGGAACTGACAACTGCAAAAAGGCTTCTCTCTGTTTTATAGGGCTCTAAGTGTCCGCCTCACTGCATTTAATACTATTTTATGGCAATCTAATTAATGTTATATGTAATCAGGGAGGATATACAGTCCAACACTAATTTAACGCATATACATTATTAAGTACAGAGACCCACTTAATCTAATATCCTCCATAATGTTTAAAATGAATTTGTTAAAAACACTAGGAAGACTGTTGAAAAGAAAAGCATGTTCAGTTTGAATCTATTCACTTGAGTTGAAAATTATTGCAATTTAGATAAAAGCACACAATTAGTCTTTAAAATGCCACTCAAAATAACAAAACCAAGATAAAATACAAAATAGGCCTTCTAGAACATAACACCCATGGACACATGGGCATCACAGGCTTCTCCCCTTCAGTTTTTCAGTAACATGTTTACATAGAGTTCAAGTTCAGTTGGTAAAGCTGCTATGGCAGGAACACAAAAAGAAAATCCCAAACTGTTACTGCATAGAGGCTACAACAGTATTCCCTATAGCCAACAATGAATTCACCCACTTATATTTTTCTTCTTCCCAAGAAATAAAGTTCCAGTCATATCATAGGCTCTAACAGACAATGTCATGAATGATTACATACAGGAACCTTTGCCATTAACCATATGATGCATGTGCAAGTACTTTATCCTGTAGGCACTGCCAGAAATGAAAAATAATAGTCTCCTGACAAAGCAATAATATTGTAGAATAATATTTTTAAAGCTTTGAAAAAAAATAAAGAACAATGAAAACTTCTTTGCATTTCAAAGTACATTTTAAATTTAATTTCCTGCATCTTCCCCTTGCCTGATCTGGCTTGGGAACAGCAGAATTGTGTAGACAGATTGCCTTAGGAAATAGGAAATAATATTTTCATCTCAGTGTTTTAGCACTTTTTATTAATACACCTGTCCTGAGTAGAATAGAGACAGAAAAGCAAAGTGATAGCTAGTTGTTTGGATCTTCAAAAGTTTTTTATTCTGAGCATTTTTTGAAAGTAACAGGTATCCGAAAAGAAACAGATAAATCAGCTTTCCACATATAACCAACAATGACACAAATGCAGAGCTTTGCATCTGTTAAGTTTCTTGGGAAGAGATCTCAAGAGAAATGCATTTAACTGCATTACCAAATCCAAATAAAGCCTCAACAGCTGTTTTTTTCTGACACAGGACTAACTATGTAGAGGGAAGGAAAAGAGATCTGTGTATTTAAGCATTAACATGCATTGCAGATGCTGATCAAGACTGTAACAAGAGAGATTCCTCGCATTTTTTTAATCTTATTCTTCCAAGTCCTTAAAGATGTGACACATGATTAAGGTAGAGCACCCTTGCAAGTTACTACCTGTAGTTTGAGCTGCCACTCTTAAATGTTTGCAATGTAAATCACATCAGCTTGAATCTTACTGACAGATATTCAAGCTAACCTGCACTTCCTGCAATTCACACACCCACAGTCAGTCTTCCCTGTTCAGCTGACACAGCAATTTAACAAGTCTGTCACATTTCTTATTATTCAGATTAAAGAAGACAACTGCACTGTTCCCCAAACAAAAGGAATTTCAAACTTTCGTAAACTCAGAAGTCCTGGGACATGCTGCTAAATTCAACATCCAGATTTATTACCACTTGTTCGTCCTAAAAATGTGGACATTCCATTCACAGTATTTCAACAAGTCTGACAATTATTACATTCAATTCAATCTCTTCAGCATTGCTATATGAGTAAAGAGATGAAGTTTGTTAATTCTTTGAGGCCAAGACACTGGCCTCAAGACAAAGTAATACCTCACCTTTCCCCTAAAGTCTCTGCTTATTTCAGGTATTCTTTGAATTTTTCCATTATCCTCATAGCACTGGAGGCCCTATCAGGTAGTAACGCTGCCACAGGTGGTCTATGCCATACCATCTTATAGTCAGATTAATTGTGACCTTATACAAATAACATATTAGTAAATTCATGCCAATACAGAGGATTAATTTAATAATTTGGACTTAGGGATGGCACACCTCTCCACAATTCTCTAAATACAAAAGGTGTTGTGTTCAATACATAAAAATAGGTTGCTTGCTCAACTCTCAACACTACTCTAAAAAAAGCTGGATTTAATTTAAAAGATATGTGACCATATCTTATTAAAAGCCCCCCTTGAATTTAAGGTGAAACACCTTTTTTGCTGATATGTAAAGAAAAATAAACATTTTAAATTAAAAGCATCACATATGTTACCTCATAAAAGAATTCTTCCTCTGCATTTGCAAACATTAATTCCTCCTTCTGCTGATTTCTCCCTTCCCTCCTCTTAGAATTGCTCTTTGTAGCTTCTGTAAAGGTCTTGCTGATAAGAAGATAGTAGTGGCACTTTCCACAAGGTTTGTTTGTTCTCTGTGCTTCAGTCAACTCTTTCCTAAAGATAAATAAACGTGTACAGATACAATTTAAAAGTACGTTTACATACACAATTTAAACCCTCAAAAAGTGTGTAAGTAAACCTTATAATGTGTTAGTATCAAAAGGATATTCATATTGCAGCCTATTCTGAGCGTCTCAGAAAATAAAATTTTGCATGCGCATTCCTAGTACTTAAAAATACTATTTGCACTTTAAAACAATAAAAATATGGATGTCTTTCCAGATCTCACAATATAACCCTTTTTTCCCAGAATCTTGTTTATGGTAGAGAGTCTGTGAAATGATTCTAAGTGCAATTCTCCTGAAAATGCATTACACTACCACTTCCATGAGGAACTATAACTGAAGAGCCAGAAAATACTCTTGCCCACCCTTGTGTTAAACATGTTGTCACTGCAACTCTCCAAAACCTTTAAGACAAAGAGGCTGAGATCTCAATTTCAGTTGTGACAAGTGCTGTACTAGTGGTAAACCTCAAAGCTAAGCCATCAAGCACCTTATTTCTTTCTCTAAAAACTTTCCTGACCAACCCTATCTACATGTTTTCTTTCATATCAAGGTAGTAATTCCTTAAAGGTCTATTTTATTGTTTAAATGAGCTATGATAGCAGTCAATTTAACCTGACTTCTACTCTCACCTCGCATGAAAGAAAAGAAGAAAAAAAAAAAAAAAAATCTTCGTTTGATTACTGGAGTTCCTTAACCAACATAATTTCCTGGTTTTCAACACAGCACTAAAACAATGTAATGCTGCATCTC